GCGCCGCCGCGCTTCCCAAGCGGCGCACTATCCAGTGCGCCACCGGGCCGGCCCTAAGTATATCAACTTCTGTACAGCCTACTTATGCTACCGATATGTGGTAGGTGAGCCGTGAAACAGAGCTAGGAAATGCAGACCACGCGAAAATTTTGGTTTGATCCTCCTCCCATCAGAAATGAGTTGTCCTTCACAGTCACAAGCCTGCAAAGTTCCAAGTGGCTTCCTGTCTGCTAATTCCACCACTGTCATCTTTGCTTCCCTTGGCCAATTGTACATAAGAGGCTGCCCTAAGAACCCAGTGCACAAAAGAGGAGTGAGGAGGAAAATAACGGATTTGCAAAGTCGAATTTTCAGCCATCGTGCTCACATGGCTTCTTAGAGACTATGCAGAAAGAAACCCAAACAGAACAGAAAAGAAACACTATCTGGCACATCAGGATATGCTGATGGTACTAGGACACCAAAATTCCCATTTATACTTTTTGTTCGCTAGAAGCCACTTTTTTTTTAAAAGAGGCATGATATCTGGGGATATTTGTTCTCATCCTGTTTCTCAAAGAATACCCAAATAAATAATACCATATCCAAACAGTAATTCTCATTCTAAACTGCATAATGAAAAGAACACCCTGTTCAACTTTAGCCTCCTCACCTACCCTCTTATCTTGTATCATGAGACACTTCATAATCACACACTTGAACTTCAGGGCACAATTACTCAAGATAAGTGTCCTTGCAGAATATGAAACTAACTCAGCCAGTTTCACTGCATATAAAGTGTGGGACTTGTCAAACTACCCCTAAAGCTTTCATCATCTTAAATAAGAATCCAACAACAGTGAAGAATAATCAACATTAAAAATACAGGTTCTCGTTAGGCAAGTTTATTACTTTCACTCCACTATCAGTAAAACCATAGTTGGACTGGAACTATTTATATCGGCACATTTAATTAATAGTTAGGAGACTCTTTTTAAAAGGGAAGTCCAAAATCCGCTACTCAGAACAAAATCATAGAGTCAAATAATGTGTCCATTAACACACAAAGTATGCTACTCCACAGTTTGCCAGCTACTGCTCTGAACTGGCATAATCTGTGAGCCTAGCTGTGCAGCCAATATTTCTAGTTTCTTATCACAACATTATACCAATAGCAGCCTTGATAATACATGGTGACAACTGTCTTCATTTTGAAACACAGGCTCAAAACCACAGTATGTGTTTAGGATAACTCTTAACATCTATAATAATTCTTAACATTTACAAACACTCCCTTAACACACATTTCTGTCCAAGTTCATAGTTTAGTTGCCATTTCCTAATAAGCCTTGACACTTCTTGGTGACTGTTCAGTAAATCTTCCAAACTGAGGACAGTAGAACACCTGAAATTTTATTTTAATGATCACTACACACATGTTCTGACCATCCATCATGGACACAATGTGATAACAAGCAGGCAACATATCTACCTTTTGCCAAAGAACCAAGACGTATATGATGATTTTTACTTCCCATTGTGTTTTTATTTTGAAAAGTTTATTTACAGCTTTCCTACAAAAGTTGGACTTCTTAAAATGTGAACACTAACAGGATATTTAATAATATTAGGAAACCACTGTTAATTTATTTAGGGGTGATTATGGTACTATGGGGTTTTGGGGGGGTTGGGAGGGTTAGTTTACTATGATTTAGAGATTCACACAGAAATATTTACAGATGAAATCATATCACATCTGGGAGGGGGAAATGAGTAGACGGAATATAAAAGAAACAAGATACGAGTTGGTAGTTGTTGAACTTGGGTGTTGTGTATTGGGATTTATTATACAGTTTTGTCTACTTTTGTATATGTTGACATTTTTCTATAAAGTTTTAAATATACTTTTTAAAAAGTGAGGCCTTTTATATCCCCACACAAGATATGTATGATATTTACATATGAAAGTAGCATACTGTTCAGTTAACCAAAGTAACCTCGATTTTGAATCTAGAAAAGCTGCAGAAAAATAATTACACCAAGAAAAAGAATGGTATTAATGGTACATTTTGAACTTGGTCTTCTTTAAAAATTAAAATTATTTCAAGCTCAAAAGAAACTGGCATGGGCTCATTTTCTCTCAAAAGCCAAATGAATAGATATATACATCACGAGCCCAGTCAAATAGCTATATATTGAAAATAAACAATCAAAAACAACTGCATAAGTCATCTATCCTTACCTGGCCTTGGAAAATGTTCATAGGAATCTGAAGGCCCCTCTTGCTTACTGAGAGGTGCCAAATAGCAGCCCAGGATAACTATGCAGAAAGCAGAACCACTTGTAACCAGCTCTTACAAGTACTTTCATAAACCAACCACAGATAGCAATGGTGAACCAAATTCTAGGCAGCATTTTCTATTAGGATATATGCTGCCATTTCGATTCCTGTTTTAAAGCAAAAGAGACAGAAAGAGGTCACCCTCTATAGTACCTACCCACATTGGCAAAGTTAAAGCAACAGTTTAGAATTATCCTAATAAGTGGGGAGCCTCAACACTCAAAATATTAGCCAATAAAACCAGTTCTAGAACCAAAGGGTAACTGATTCAATCACTAACGTTGAAACCTGTGTTCACCTTCAGCACCACCACCACGACCCTACCCTCCCTTCCTCCCAAACCACTGGCCACCATCCACCACCATCAACCCAACCAAAAGCAGTTTAAACAGAAAAGAACAACACTAACAGGAAGACTTCGTTTTTTAAAATTTTTAAACCTGACACCCAAACACATATACAGAACCAGCAATGTAAACCTGTACAATTACTGTATGTGAAATTAAAGCTGTCATTAACAAAGCTTGCATCTGAGCTTCTGAAACAATACCATAATGACAGAAAAAAAAAAAAAAAAGAAAAGTTTCCTTCAGGAACATCAAACCATCACATCAGGTGCAAGAAAGGCTATAAACGAACTCATATATTGGTTCTGTGCTTAAGAAAGCTGGACCAGCTCTGCAGAATATCAAAGTCGTGTGTATGTGTGTGTGTGTGTGTGTGTGCGTGTGTGTGTTAGGGGTGGTGTGTTAGGGGTGGGGATAGAGAGGTAGGGGGAGGAAAGAAGGCGGTTAAATTTATAGAGGCCAATCCAAACCCAGCATCAAATCATATCCATCTAGGCAAAGATAGTTTCCCCCTGACCCCTGGGCAGTCCCCCTCTACCTCCTTCCACCCTCCACCCCCCCAACCCCAGCAGCCTGTTAGCCAGCAAGAAAATGTGCATTTGGAAATCAATGCTGCAGGTGCCCAAGGAATTAAGATAGGTACACACTCAAACACACACACAAAGCCAATCACTTAGAAAAAAAAAAAAACACAAAAAAGGAAAGGGAAAGGGACAATTGATAACAAGCCCTTCCGATACCAGCTAGGATTTTATTCTTTCCTCCCACCAGTCCCCCGTGATATATCTTTTCCTGTCCTTTAACTAAATTGCTCGTGTACACACACATGTGCATATGTATGTGTACAGATAATATTATAATTAACCCTTTCTGTAACAGAGCCGCATACAGAATACAGAGATATTTCATCCTTTCCTCTTCTCTCCCCTCCTCCTTTCTTTCTCCCAACCAAGAGAAAACGCCCCCTTCCTCAGCTTCACCAAAAAAAATTTTTTTTGAGGAGGGGAGCAAAGAAACCACAAAACCCCATCAGTCTCCGGTCCCGAGGACACCCAGGAAAGGTATATACTATATACACACACGGACATATGGCTCTGTAGAAAGCACACAGAGACCCGTCCACGGGCGCCCCAAACCCAGCAAAGAGACTTCCACCAGCCAAGAAGCCATGATTGGGGAGGGAGAGGAGGAAGGAGTAGGGGCAGAGCTATCCGTGGAGAGGGGGCGCATTGTTGTGATGCCTGAACCCCTTTCTTTCTGCCCATCTGCTGTAGAGGGGGTGCAGGGAGGGGGCGCAGGGGGAAGGCGAGCGAGAACGAGAAATGAGACCAGGCACTGCTTTGCGATTCCCTCCTGCTGCCTGTCTGCCCGCGCCCCCAGCTCCCCCCAACAATAAGACCTCAGCCTATACAGACAGACAAACAGCCCCGAGCCGGCGGGGGAGGCAGGGGAGCCGGGCGCAACCGAGTGGGGTCGTGAATAAGGGGAAACCGGAGGAGGGGGGTCCCCCTTACCTCCAGCGCTTCAAAAGTGACAAAGCTGGTCATGGCAAATCCATCAATGATGTCCTCTTCGGCCGAGGTGGACTCTCTCCGCTTCCTCCGCGGGGGTCTGGGCCGGGACGGGGCGGTGGACGGGGGCTTCCCATTGTCTTCCTTGTCGGAGCCCGACGACGAGGCGAGCGAGGGCGCCCGGGTCCGGCCGGCCCCGCCACCGCCGGCCGCGCCGGCCCCTAGCCCGCCCCGGGAGCGCCTCTCCCGGTCTCGCTGCGACCGCGACCGCCGCTTTTTGCGGAGTCCATGGCCCCGCGTCGGGCCATCCATGGCTCTGCCGCGCCGGGGTCTCCCCGCTCGCCGCCCGCCCGCCACAGGCTCCGGCCGCGGCCACACAAAAAAATTGACACCAAGCCCTTCCTCCCCCTTCACGGCTTCCCTCCGCCCCGAGGAGGGCGCGGGGGAGACGGCGGCCGAAAGAAGGGAGAGAGGGGAAGAAAGAGAGGAGAAAGAAAAGGGGGAAGGGGCGGAGAGAGGGGAGGGGGGACGGGGAGCGAGGGCGAGAGGCGAGGAGCCCAAGTGTGGGGCTCCCCGCAGCACCGAGGGTCGGAGATGCCTGGGAGCAGCGCCGAGCAAAGTAATGGCTGAACACACAGGTCTCCTTTAGAGGAAAAAAAATAACTCACCAAGCAGGCAATAAATCAGAATAGCGGAATGCTTTGATCAAGAGACTGGGAGGCTCCGGGGAGCCCTCCCCGCGGCCATTCTCCGCCCGCGCCCCCCGCCCCCAGAAAACGCCTGCCCCCCAACCCAAAATCGGGTCCGAAAAGGTCGCGGGAAAGTGGGGGCAATGAACTTCACCCGCCCCTCGCGCAGGAAAACACCCCCGCCGCCTCTCACACACGCCTCGGAGAAAACTCACTCCCAGGCTCCAAAATTTTTAAGAAATGCACCCAGGGGAGGCCGGGGCTCCAGAGCGACCTGCGAGGGGCGAGACCCCCCAGGGAGGGAAGCATAATAATGCGATAATTAGCCGCGGAGAGGGCGAAACTGCGAGAGGTGGAGAGAAGAGAGGCGGAGGAAGGGAAGGAGGATGCTGGAGCAGTTGTGGGGTTTGCTTTTCGGTCTTCAAGGGAGGAGGACAGGGAGATGAAAGCGGAGAAGAAGCAAAGCCTGACGCTGCCACCCGCCCCCTCCTCACAAAAATATTTGTTCCAGTCCCAGAGAAGAGGTCACCCTTCTTAAAAAGGGAGGGGGTGAGTCAGTCAGTCGATAAGGAAAGCAGAAAGAAATTTCCAGCGGGAGAGACACCGGTGTGCAGCCGCCTGCCGCCGCTGCTGCCCCTTCTCGTCGCCCAGCCTGAAGAGAAGCGCTGCAAACAATACCATAATA